ACAAACATTTTTCATCTTTCCGACCAGTTTAATCCAGACTTTTTGCAAGTAAATGCAACAAATGTTTCCTGGCCAGGTCCCCAGACTGTGAAAGGTTGCGCCTTCAAAACCTTCATGTTGGCGTTTGAAGTATGCGCTGGAGCACCATCCTGCATAAATGTAATTTTGGTCTTGATGGGAAAATGATCCACGGTGTCCATTGTATCGAAGTACTATGACAGTATTTTTTACGGTAATATCCTGCGTTGATATCCTGACCTTTAAAAATGATGTACAATTTTGTCGCTTCTTGAAAAAAAAACCACCAACAACCATGCAAAAATGCAAAAAGGTTCGGTTAGTGCTTCAAATTCGCGAGCAGACTCAAGCGGTAGTGGTGCCAATAGTTTCCCAATCAGGATGTTATTATAAGTTTGCGTGAAGATAATGGTTGTAAAACCCAAACCCCAATTATTAGGCGGATTGAGATTTCGGCCTCATATTTGGGACGGATTTCAATATTTTTCTCTAACATTGATGAAAAAGTGCTTATCATGTTAATAGGAATATTGTCGTAGATTGAAACGTCTTTGAGATATGGAATAGTAGTGTAGAATGCTGACAAGGTTAAAATAGTTGCAAACAGGTATCCCCACAAGGCTGGAGTGAATGGGGTGTAGTACATTTCCCGTGTGTATGGCTGTTTAGCCCAGCACGTGAAAAAGCTATAAGGATATGAGGAGAGCATTACAGTCTCATCAGGATTTGGTTTGTGTGACCTAACACAAAATAGAAATGGAATTATTATTGAATATCTTGTCCCTGCGGCTGGGTGGATTAACTTTTTTGTTGTCCCTGATATTTCTAACGGGGGATGCAAGAAATAGAGGTTTTCCGGTAAATTTAAAATATCTAAAGTTGGAAAATTTTATGTAGTTTTTAGACAAATATAGTGAAAGGCATTGTTCCAATTTTAAATGTCTTTTAAATTTTGGCATAATTGCTGATACCCTATAGGGATAATCAGGACCAACAAGAAATTTAATGCACTATGTGCAGGCCTCAGTTAAATACGACAAGATTTCTGTATGCATCAAGACTTAATTTAGCCATTTTGGTGTAAATAAGGCTGGGTTTATCACATCATGCACATATCTTTTCACTAATACCACAGTTATATTTTTGAAGCAGTACAAATCGAACGCAACCTTAGCGAGAACATCTTCTCGCTTTAGGGTAATTTGATTGCGGCAGATATATTTATCCTCCGGCTCGACAGAAGCTCTTAATATGGCCAAGTCTTGGTGATGCAACAATCCCCTGGCTGTAGAAATTGTGCCGATATTGTGCCGATAAATTGTGCAGCTGCGTTGTGCCGATAGTGCTACCTCCGTGCCAGTGTACGCATATTTGTTAATCTCAAAGACAGGACAGTTGAAGAATAGTTTATCCGTGTCAGTTGTGTGAACGAAGTAGAACATAAATTCGTAGAACCATGGGTGTGTACCTTTCCGCCCGTGATTATAAGCTGTATGAAAGGTAAAATATGTTGAGTCTAAATAACTGTTTTGGGAAGTTGAGAACGATGCAAGCTCCTGAATAACGATGAGTCGTTCATTGTATGCAATTCTACTCTGAAAATAGTCTTTTCGTACATCTTCGCTGATTTTGTATATGACCAAATTTCGTATATTTGTCATGGTTGCTCTCTGGCTAGAGTTATACTCCTGGTGCTGTTTTTGAAGGCGAATGTAGGCAAAAATGCAGAACATCTGGCCATGATGCAGACGGGTTTTGAAGACGTCCAACCTGATTGCCTCTCGTAAGTCATCTGAAGTAAAATTGTTGATCAAATCGATGGTTATCGTTGTGTAGGAGGAGATGAAGTGTGGGAAAGTAGATAGGTTGGGATTCAAATCTGTGACAATGTCAAAATGGCAGTTTTGGAGTTCGGAGAAGCTTTGTATTTCTGACCAAAATTTGGCTTCAGTTGAAGAGGATGGTTCAGCGTTTCGTTTTACAGAGTCGTCTGCCAGTGTGAGAGAAGAAGCAGTCAGAGCCAGGAAAAGTAGTTGAGGTTGATACATTTTTGAGAAATCGTTCATTCTGGAGTTCGCTGTGTCTAGGATTATGTATTTAAAAATACTGTTGCTAAAGTTTTGGATTTGTTTCCATGGCGACTGCGAAGCAAAGCAAATTTGGTTAAGTATTTCGTGACAATATTTTAACAATTACATTAAGCGATAAGCTAATACCTACAGGAGGCAAGGGTGGGTCTTAAAAAATAAGTATTGCATAAGTGAACATTCAATGGTTTATTAATGAGATAAATCCAATATACCCCAAGTAAATTTTAGAAATATTAATTATGCATAACAGTGTAGATAGGGGTCTGCAAAATTTTTATATAGGTTTTTATTACGTTGGAAATAAAGTTTTCCAAGGCGAAAGGCTCGAGGACTTATCTATAAATGGGGTAATGAAATAGGCATTCAGAAAGTTAAAAATATAAAATGATGCTTTATAGATCTGAGGCCACAAATCTGAGGCCACAAGTATCATGACTTATATTTTTTTTATTTTCTTGCCATCGTTCATGTATTTTCCTGATATGTAACCATAGGCACAACCTCCGAGGTGTGGAATCTTCCCTATACATTCTCTAAAGTACGTATGTAAATACAGTATTATCCCAATACCTATTATAGTTTCAAAAGTCACTTATTATTGATTTTTCTAAACTTTGTATGCTTCCAATTAAACTTTGGAACTAGGTACATATTCTTAAACAGATAGGTCGTACATTTTTTAGAAGTCCATCATTCTAAATTTATATTTCCTGATGGCTGTGCGCGTGAAAGATACCGTATGCTCAACGGTTCTGGATTTGTTTCCATGGTGACTGAACCAAATATAATTCGGTTCGTGACAAAACTTTCCAGTTCCATGAAGCGATAAGCTAAAAGCTCCACGAGGTTGAGCAGGACCCGCCTTTTATTCGAACACAGTATTGAATAAAAGAACAGCAATTTTCATTTGGACATTAAATAATTTATTAATGTGGTAAATTATATTATAACTTATATATTTATCCAGTTCTGTCTGTCAATCTGTCCGGAACGCATCGCTTCAACGCTTTATTTCATATTACAAGGATAGCAACGGGGTTCTCTCACATACTACGTCGCTAAAATGCCGTACCCTTGATATTTGCTTACTACCAAGACAAAAATATTGTTGCATCTCATAATCTCATGTGACATGCCGTACCCTTGGCATTCGAATTGGAGCCATATTTCTTAGCAGAGAGGGAACGGAATTCTTTACCCTACATTAGGTGCCACTACGTGCTGTGAACTGAAGATTGAGCACAGAAATACATTGAAGGGATATACATACTACGGACAGAATCGTGCAAGTTAATTCACATGGTGCCACGGGCACCGCAAAATCACCTAGTTATATATACCCAAAGTCGATTTCAAGTCGGTTACCAAACACTGCCAAACAGTGTAAACAGGAGCCTGAAATATTTTAGTTTTATAATGCTTTTAATTATATTGGGAATAAATTGCAATAAAACTTTAACATAATGGAAATTTCCAACTGTCAAACCTGCATTTATAAAATTTTATTAAGAACATTTATGAAGTCCCGATGTCCAAAAAATAAGCTTGGCTATCAAAATATGCTTGGTGAGGGACATAATTTGGTAAAATCTTTAGAACAAGGTATCAAGGACTACCTAAATAGCCGCGTCTCATTTCCCCTTATTCATTAATTCATTTTTAGCAATCAGGCAAAAAGAAATGTCAAAATTTCCACGGCAAAACCGCACAAAACGGATTCCCGCATTCCCGTTTTGTCAGACAGTTCACTGCAAATTTTTTTCCAGCATAAATATTTGATTTCCAAATCGTTGACGTTTTTCGATGCAATTGTCAGGGTCGCCACACTCCAAAAAACTCGACCTTGGTATTTGAGTAAAAGAAGGTTTTGGAAGGTCAGCTTTAAAAAATTTGCACTATGCATTGCCAGCTTTCAATGTAAATGCGATTACCATATTGTAATTTGATATGTTTGCTTGATCATTTGAACTATGCAATTTCTATTACATTTGGGCAGCGGTGATGAAGAAAGAACGGGAATTTACACTATTGACCTCCAAAGTGGGTGAAGAGGAGGAGATGCGTGAAAGCGGGTGGAGAGGGAATAAAAAGTATTTCTGACCTCCCGCACGCTAAAAATCGTGCATTTTTTCAAACTTTGATCGCTCACAACTTATTTTAATCGTCGCATTTAACTAAGTTCAAAACTAAAAGTTGGTTGTGTTGACTTGGACTACAAAATTTACGTGGTTGCATTAAAATCTGAGCGTAGCCGCTGACACCTTCGCATTGTTAGATTAGTACCTGACGGGAATGCATGGTATGCGGAGAAGTAAAATTTATGACAATGGGAAACATGAAATTCCATATTTATGAACTTTTATGAGTATTTAAGTTTTTGCAAATTAGTCACGGGATCGGATTCGGTGCCTCGGGCCCCACAAAGTAACCTAGCCTTTAAAGTATTAACGACATTCGTCTTAAACTAAATTTGTTTTGAGTAGATAACACATCCTGATAAGTGTTTTGGATTTATTTTAGTAGGCCGCCCAAGACATCACCTGATATCTCCCCTCCGCAATAGAACTCATATGCATATTAACAAGATCTTATGTAAGACCCGACTATCACATCACCGATTATTTTATCAAACTTAATTATCCTGACTGATTTATCACTGCATCACATTTTACATACATACCTATTCGCACTTACATAATTCCGATAAGCATTCCCACTTTGGTTTTTTCCTCACCGTAATCACTCCACCTGAACTTTGTCTGCCTCGCTTATCACCACCGGATGCCCAAACCAATCAGTAAATTACAGACATGTCTAAAAGATTACTTTTTTACTCAACACTTTGTCTCTCCTACTTCATCCGTGTGCAAAAATTGCACTCCACAGTCCACCATTCCTTTCCCTATCGCATAAATACAGAAAATTATCCGACCAACTCACCATTTTCAATTACACCACCGTTCCAACGTCTCCTTTCCCTGTAACCGTAAGATTAAATAAAAGTAAAATATGAATCCGTCCCTTTACTTCGCCTCCTTTCTCCTCCTCCTACCACACCTCTCTGCTTCTCAGAGTGACACTCCCGCACTATATTTCAACCAAACCCTGGCGGGGGGGGTATTCTCCTCCCCAAAATCCACTCTTAGGCAATCTTGCCCTCCTGGCGACTTCCTCTGTGCCGATTTGTCCGGTTGCTGCGTCCGCGGTTCGATCTGCTGTGGATTGTATTGCTGCATAAATGGTGCCCAATGCTTTGGTGGGTCTACCTGCCGCCTCCCTGAATCCTGCCCGCCGGGGTATTACGACTGTCACAATGACTACTGCTGCCAGACGGGGTCACTATGCTGCGGATCGAATTGTTGCATCAACGGCGCCACCTGCCAGGGTGGGACGTGCATCCGCACTTCCCCTGGCTCGGGCTCTCTTCATGCTGCCGTTAAGGGTTTGATTATTTCGAGTCTCATCGCCCTATCGGTCTGGAATTTATAAAGGTCGGTAGCCATTTAAGGTTCACAAAATACAAACTTCTAAATAATATCATAATAAATAACTCTTTAATCTTTTAAGATTGCCGTTAATCCAATTAGCGCATCACCTCAATTATCCGTATTGTCTTTGACATTTAATAAAAGATTTTCAATCATTAAAAACGTTTTCCATTTGCACATTCGTCGTGTTTACAACATCTTTGGCAATATTTACCGCATCCTTACGAACATAAATATTTTTTGTCGTACACCATTATACGAATCTTCTAATAAAATCCACTCATATTCCATTTATGCGACGCCAACCAGAACTTGCGTCATTCCATTGTAATGAAGTGGATCCATCTGGATTTCAGGTTGATATCACTAATCCCCCAATTCCGGCCAAATTACATAGATATGTAAGTCGTCACAGTGAAATTGATTGATGTCCCAAACTCCAATTTTTCAAGCACGGCTGAATTTTAGCTAATCTATATCTCACCTTGTCGCACTGCTTTGCATAAAACAAAATAATCATTTAAACGACATGAGAATCACAAAAAATTAATAGAATTTTAACACCTGTTTCTGAACTGCCGACATATATTATGTGAAATTACAAAAATATCATTTACGAAAACTTATTTCCTCTTTACAAATTCTTTATTCAGACTAAACTAGAGCCACATTAAGTTCGCTGAATTTCAATATATATCTCCGTTTCTAACGGTATCGGTCATCATGTAAATATAAATACTGACCTGCAGATCGCATAAATCCTATAAATATCTCCATACACTAATTTCTAAATATCTTAAGTAGCTACACCAAAATATCTTCGACAAAATTAATTTCGTCCGACCAATAAAAAACAATTTTTTTTTATTATTTCGCAGTCTAATTTTTACAAAAATCCCACTATTAGGATTTTTAATGCGTCTTTCCCAATGAATTAAACATATGACTAATTACATAATCAAAATAAATCTAATATAGAACTGGATTTAATCCTTGAAACTTTATTATTCTCAATTTGATCAAAATGCAAAATATTATTGTATTTTCCCTCGATTCTTTACTCACTAACGCATTTAGTCACTCCCTCCGTGTAGTTGACTGCATGCCCCCACTCATTACCATATCTCCAAAACTCAGATTTCGGATAAGTCCACTCCCCCGTGGAAGAACAGTACCGTCGCGTAGCCCCCAAAAGATAATAGCCTCGGTCACACTCAAACTCCACCATTGTCCCAGGCGTGAAGCGGAACGTGCTCTTGTCCCCATTCCGCGGTGTCGGTAACCATCCGCAGGACACCACTTCAACAAAAATTATTTACTAAATTATCCCCAATTACAACTAAGTATTCCATTACCTGGTTTTAGTGCGTTATTCCTGACATTTTTGTACTCCCATTGGTACACCTTCGTAAAATGGGCTGCCCATCTATCCCCCGTGATCGCGTAGTCAAACTTGCATTGGTAAGAATGCCCACAAAAATCCTCTACCATCGTATACGTCAAGTTTGGGCGACCCCTATACGTAGAAGCAAGAAATTAATACATTTTACTACAAAAAACCTAAAATCTAAATTAATCCACCTACCCCTGGTCAGAGAGGATTTTGGGGACTTCAAGACTTGAAACTGGGACAAAGTCTGGATCACTGTAATCCAAGCTTGATCTCCTTGGCGGATAAGAAAATAGTGACTCATTCTCCAGAACTTTCCCTGAAGAATAAAACAGATATGTCCATCACCTTCATAATTATCTAGAATCAAAGTTACAATCCAAAACCACTCACAATATCTCCCAAAATTATGGTAAAGTCGTTTTGAATCATAAGTAATCTCCGTGGCCACCTCAGTCCCGTCAGGAAGTGGAAACTCGCCTTGCAACACGTTATCCCATTTTCCGAACAGACCAGTAGTCGTGTTCTGCAAAGTCGGGCGTTAATCAATTTCAATTTGCATAAAATATAAATAATTTTAATTCACTTTAAAACTCGTTGGTAGGTAGATTCTAGCCGCAGTGTTACCCTTATTTTCAATAACTTCCACCCCAGCGCCGGATTTGAACGTGACAATCACTACGGACTGGTTCAGCACGTAGGTTGGCGTATGCACGGTCAAACCTTTAATTGTGCACGTATAACAATTTTTCCCCCTCAAAACTGGTTATTACATAGAAATTGACCAATTTACCAGCAAAGTTTTGCACTTTTTGTCTGTCAAAAAACACTTTTTCCCCATCTACCAGAACATCCAACTTGTAGCGCCATCTCGCTTCTACCGGGCGAAGTCGGACTTCCACCGTGGCGGAGTTTCCTTCCCTAACCGCAATTATTGTTAGTTGCGTAGAATTCACCGCTGAGCCATCCTCTCTAGGCGGGAGCTGTTCAAATCGACCCTGAATCTCTAATAGGTTCGAGCTCAAGTTACTCTTAAGCAGAACAAACTCCCCCTTTGGATTAAATGTGAAGGCAACTCCGTCAAAAGTGTAGAAGTGAAGGCTACCAAAAACTGTGGCTAAATAATTATCGCAAATATCAATTTAAGAAACAATTCAGTCTTAAACTCTATTTTCCTTACCCAACCCTGGTGGATCGTAGCCCACACAATTTTCGGAAACTCGTACTTCCTCGCGGAAAGCATAGCAACCCGGACTCGTTTCCGAGTTCCAAACGCAACAAGAATAAAATGGAGCGATATCGTGCAAATAATGGGACAAGGTAGGGACCTAAATTCAAACATTGTTTAAATCGAAATTAAAAATTTTTCAATATTTACAAAACAGAACTTTATATATTTCATTGAACGGTTGTGCCCCGGCAGCATGCGACCGGCGTGGTTTCCCACCCCAAACATTGTCATAGCTCAACATAAGATCACCGAATATGTCGTAACAGCATTGTTGGCTTGCACCAGACTCACTACAAAAAACTTTATTGTTAATACTACTTCATTTCATAAGAACGATCGCACTATACAAAATGTGTTCGACCTACCTTGGAATTGCCAATTGCACACAATGTTTCGCGTTCTGGTTAAGCCCACAATTTGAAAACCTCCCATCCTTATCGCACTCAGGATCAGGGAGGTATCGCCCAACGTCATTGACCGCTTGGGTCAATGTACAAGGACATTTTGTAAGCTGCAAATTAACAATTACGTGATTTCCCATTTAGGTTAACAATTTATTCATTTTTTTGTTAAATTCAAATCCTCCGCTAAATCAGAAGACATAGCTTCCTACCTGCGCAGTAAAGTTTGGACGTTGCCTCTCCCTCGCTAGCCATTCTTGGCACGTTGCATCATTAATTCCCGTATTTACATAAAATAGAACCAACGGGACGGGACGACTCCATAAAATCCTGTATCCAATATTCCCAATAACAATGACCACCCTCCATCACAAATTATTTTTAAAACTCACGGATTTAATTCTCCTGCAGACACATTTGCAAATCTAACCGATACCAAGGCTACTCTGTTACTATCAAATAGTTCTTCTCCCAATTTCTCTAATTTCGAACTGTTCCCTATTTCGTGTCTGCCACTGTTCGGAATCGCCTCCTTTAAAAAAACCACCCAATTCCATTAATCCCATCGAAAACAAACATACATAACTTCAAACTCACCGCTAACGTGCCTACCAAAACAATAGAAGACCCGCTAAAATTCAAATTTTCCCTGTATTCCCAGACTTCCAAGGTTACCAGCGTATCCCTATTTACAGTCAGGTTCTTATAGTCCCAAGAAATGGTGGACAGTTTCCTCTTTCTGATATCAATATTGGGAAACCGCACCAACTCAGGCGACCGTGTTGGCGACTCCACAAAAAACTTTGCCAGCCATTCCGCGCCGGCGGTTCCGTTCCCTTCCACGCCAACCGAAATTTGGATATAGCCAGAACCGAAAATTTGTGGCATCAGACAGCTTGCCCGGTTCCCATTTATGACGACAGCTTTTACTTTCGTGTTCTGGAACCTGGTTCATTTTCCTCACTATTTATTCCACACCTTCCTATTCCATACTTTGATAAGAACTTACCTGCAGTAATACTCTCGCGATGAGTTGAAACACGGCCCTGTCACGTTCACAATTGTTCCCCCCAGCATATTCCCGCTCTCTGGGGCAACAATTAGTCTTCCTTTGTCGGAGTCATTTCCCGCTAAAAAAATCACCCTTCAAATACCAAATTATTATCTATTAGTATCTCATTACTAATAATATACCACATTGGCCTGGCAAAATGGCTTCATCCACCCTAAAAATATGACGACCCGGAAACCCATTAACATTCCCGGAGGTCAAAAGGTTCCGGACGTTCTCTGATTTTGCATACTCGAACGCCGCAGATCCATTTCCCGCATTGAATCCGACCTGAATTAAATTAAACCTATGATATTTCACATTTAAAAAAATAATTATTTGAACTAGCCGCTACAAAAGCTATCTTCCCGCCGTTCATCGTCTCAGGTGGCGTCGTCCCGATATGTTCATAATTGTAGATCACATAAGTCCTCGTTTCATCCGTCACTATCACTGCTTGGAATGTCGCCGTCTAAAAGTATTTGGATACGCTTCAATTTTCTTTAATATTAATTCCCCCCAATGATTAATTATCGACCTAGTTCATTATTTGTATCTCACTAACGGTTTCATTTCCTGAATTGGAATCTCCCGCAAAAAAAGAAACATTTCTCCACGTTGCCACGATCACATGTTCCGGTTGGAACGATTCTGCCCCTACGATGCCTTCCCGCACGTCCCATTTTGAACGCTCCCGCAATTCCACGCCTATCTCATCAGTCCTACTTCCTAAGTGCCTTTCCACCCTGTCAAAAACGGACCCAACCTGTATTTACTGATTTATCCTTCATTCTTAATTTAATTTGCTAAATTAAAGACTGAACCTACTGCAAATATACGCCAGCTGTCTTATCCCCATCTGAAGGCTCCGCTCTAATTTTGAATTCCGAATACAGCGGGGCAATAATCGATGGATCGAATTCTTTTGGATATGCAGGATTTGGAAATACGAACGGATGAGTTGCTGAATATTTGCCAGGACGCAATGCTACATGGCCATGAAGCGACACCTAAATATTCGCATATTATATTCTCGTAACTACTCTTCCTAACCCCCTAAAACTCGTAAATTCACTCCAGTTGTAAATCTTTTCTTGCAAAAATTCACCCGAAAGTTGCAAAATTTAGGTTTTGTTAATTTACTTTTTACCCTGCCAACTTTTATCAAAATATTTTTAATGTTCTTTTTTACTTTTTAAAAATCGTAAAATATTTACAAATTTTAGAGTTTTCTCTATATCAAAAAATGTCAAAAATTCAGGTCTTGACAAAATTCTTACGTAATTTTACCAAAAAGACGGCCTAAAATAAAGGTTTAGGCGCTGCGCACATCGGCATGTCCCTTACGAGCCATTACCCGCTCTAATACCTGCTTATTTAAATATTTAACCATACCAATTTTACGCCAAATCTTACTTCAAAAATCCGATTGTATTTCTTTCCAAAAAACGGCAAGTCCAAAATTAATATTCCGAGGACCAAATCTCTCCGATTATTGTCTAGCTTCCCCAGAAAACTATCACTGCTCAGATAGAATTCTTCTGTAGTTGGGATTGGATACAGCAAGTCGGACCTTATCGTTCCGAGCCGTTCAGAAGTCAACCTGTACGGCTTGCGGACAGGGGGATGAGTTGTAGTTCGAGGAAGGTAGTAGTAGTATGAAGGTCGAGAAGTAGTCTTCAAAAGAAGGTCCAACTCTATACCAAAATAAGACATCAAACTTAATGAGATATTTACAAAATGTATCCCAAAATATAAGAAAAGAGGGGCTCCTATAGAATCTTAGATTCACCACTTTGAAAACCTCCGCCGTTTCTTAAATATTTAACTCCAACACCGAATCGATCTGTAGCATGGAACAAGATTTTAACTTATAAAATCTGGTGAGAAATGGCGCAACTCCAAAATTTACAAATATCGCCCTCATTTTAATGTACCGACTGGGTACTACCGACCATAAAATGGTATTTAGATAGTTAAAAAAAAATATTTGCTCAAAAATTTAAATTTCCAACAGCTAAAACAAATTTTGTTTAAATTTTTGAAACAAAACTTTAAAAAACGCAATTAATCCGAAAAAAAAACAATTAATTGAAACCTTCGCTCGTAAATTACGAGCGATGTAATGTACTAAGGTACTAATGTACTAATGTACAAAGGTAATTACGAGTCGTAATTACCTTTGTTTAAACGCACCATTGATCCTCTCCACCGGAGTAAAGTCCTTCCAGCTATATATCATACATTCATACATTTATTTATTCACCGCCAACACTGGTATAACATGACATGCCAATTTTTACCTTCTGTCGTCGTCGTCACTTCTTCACTTGACCAAAAATCTTCGAAATAATCACACCTCGTAATCGGCAATCCGCTCCCTAGCACCAAAACTATTGCTAACATTGTCCTCATTAAGGGGTGGAACGGTCTAATTTTTTCAGATCCCATTGTTCCAATTGATCAAAAACTATGAGGAAGATGTTGACAATATCTCCTCAATTCTGTAACTGAAATGACAGCAATCTGGACAGTTCTTTCCAGTCTCTGACTTGTCTTGCAAAGTTAATCGATTCTCAGAAAATTATTAACATGTAAACATCTTGTTTACGTGGACAATCTCAACTGTTCAAAGTTCACGATTGCTATTATCCTTTCTGTTACACAAGTGGAGCGATACTGTCAACATTAAACAAGATGCTTACGTATTAACAATTTTCTGAGAATACGATCAATTTTTGCACCACAAGACAAACTCGTGAGAGGAGAGCTACGTAGCGTATGATGAATGGAGAGGGAGATTTCTAAGAGTTCGTTGAAAACATCTTTACTCGTAAATATTATCAGGAAAGATTTACCTAAATCAATCAGTTCAATTCCAGTTGAGAAAGAATATTTGGTAATCGTTTAAACTCTGGGCAGCCCTGGTCGAGAAGTAAATACGAAAACAACTTTGAGAACTCTGAAATTTTATATTTATTTCTATGTAATAAACTCATATCTCCGATAAATTGGAATAAATACAAGACGCATATTAATGCTAACATAATATTCACTTCGGCTCAAACCCAGGAATATTTTAGATTACCGACAATCCCACCAATTTCTGTTCAAATTTTTATATTCCTAAAATAAAAGAGGTTGAATCCATGCCAAAAATTTGTTTTAGCAAATTTTAGAATATCAATTTCCAGGTTCAACGCATTCATAGCATAATTATAAACGTATCTACTTGTCAGGATTATCAAAATTGCAGACAAAGGTTTTTCAATTGATTAACATGCGTCCACCCATATTCGTGTTGAACGCAAACTGACATTACCGCTGTATATATTTAAAAATCAGACAAACGTATATCTCAACCTGTTGGACTGCTTTGCATAAAACCGCATAATATTTAACTTCACAACATGAGAATATGTTTTCGGAAAATAATAAAACTTTAAACGCTATTTTTCAAACTAAATACTTACGAATTTTATGTTCAAATAAAAAACTATGGTTACCAATAAATAATTTTTGTTCTCACGCAATTTTTTTTATTCATGCAATCCTCATACCCACTGCAACTACATTGTAACCAAAATTTCAATATTTACCGCCGTCTCCAAGGAAATCGGTCATCCTGAAAATCAAATTTACTTATTCTACCCGCCAAAAATTATTTAAATCTGCCGAATTAGTATCCATGTCAATTTCAACGGTTTCCGGTAATCAAAAATAATTCGAAAAAATAGAAACCGCGATAAACCTTCAAAAAATCTCCCAACCTGACACCTAACCGCCAAGTCTACAATCGCTCACAGAGGTCAACTTGTCATTAAATCCGCCTAAATTAGCCGCCCCGGCTCTGTCAAGTTGATACCGGTCCCCCTTGCAGTCTGCATCTTCCCAGAGGCGGATACAGGCACTGGTCCTTACGGAGGATGTCTTGTCGTTAAAGTCAAGGTCCAGAACGTTCCGGCATCGTCCCCCGTCCAGTCTGAAGGTCACCATGCGTCCTAAAATATTTTTAATTGTGCACAAAAATAATACGACAAATTTTTCCAGAAATCGGTTCACCCATACCATCAAAATTTGAATGTTCCCAGAGATTAACTTCTACATACATGAAAAAAGGAATTTAGCTTTCAAATGATTTTTATAATCATAATTGTTAATTTTTCATACCTTGCAATTTTACGGTAGTCACGAACACTACAAATAGCAAACAAATAATTATTTTCGATTTCGTCATATTTAACAAACCCATCCCAATATTTCCATCAGTCAGACCAAGGTTTTAGATATAAGTGTAAAATTAATCGGCTAATAGCTTCCCATTTATATCAAAACTTTAAAACATCTCACCGCAAACTACTTTTTCGCAGAATACACTAAATTATCAATAAATATAGCTTAATAAATAAATTATTGCCCCTTTTTTACTACCTTTCCTCTGAAATTCCATAAATTTATTTTAATATTGATTGCTCAGGTGCAGCAGCTGCTGAGTACATAGATGTTGAAGGTTAATTATTTTCAAAACTAAGTTAACTGATTATTAAAATGTGATCAATAAATTTGTCAATGGCAATAATTCTCAATTCGAATAAGTAATCTATACTCATATTTTCGAACAATTTAATACTTACCAAATCATATTTAATTGCATCTAGTAATACATACATAGTTTATCCTGTTTCTAATTGGAGACGTCATAAAAACCATAGAATTTTAGTGCAGAATAATAACTCTTCAAAATTTCCCGGAAGAAAAAAAATATTAAAACCGGCTCCATAATTTCGTATCTTCATGTCATGTTCCCTATCCTCCAATGTAAAACTTTCTATTACAAGATAGGGAACCTGGCATGAAAATACGAGACTATGCAGCCGGCTTAAGTATAAATATACAAATAACTAGGTCACTCTCTCCAATTTCCAGTTACAGCAGCCAAAAAATTTAACCACTCCCTCCAGTCACATTGTCAAAAGAATTTGTGTTTTTTTCAACAAGCAACATTTTACCGTACGAATTATTTGGGATCAAGTCTTGGAGTCTACAACTTTTTTTCTTTTTCTTGGAGTCTCCACGTAGCCATGTAAAGACCACTGATCCTCTCCACCAAATCCATTGTAGAAAAATAAATTGTTTTGGCAATAGGTGAGGAGGGTTTTATTTATTTATTAATAGTCGATAAAGAAATTAAGAATTTTCTGAAGTAAGTCTTCTAATTTTATTACTAATACAAATTACAAATATGCAGCTTCACTTCCCAACATTTTAAATCTACCAACCATAATTATTCGTACAGCCGTTTTCAAATAGTCTTGATAACTCTTGGTAACTCCTTTTTAATCAATTTAATCCACACAAACTCAAAAGTATTTGCCCTAATTGTCCAAGTGTGTGATGTGGCATACGTATAATTCGATACAAAATATATGCTTCCTGACCCAGCAACGAGTACATCCCCAGTGGTCGAATTGATTGAATAGTTTCGTACACCGCGCTCAGATTTATTCTCGAGCTGACATGGAGGAATACGCCACCAATAGGTTTGGAAAACCCACACTGACAAAATCGTCGCCGGTATGAGAACAATGTACGATAAACAAATTGTAATGGGATAACTCTGGCATCGTCTGTGTTTACCTGCAGTTTTAAAAATTTGTTAATTACTATCCCACCTTTATCAAAACCAGTACCTTCTTGATCGACTTCTGAACACTTCGTCACTCTAACCGCATTCTCCGAGTTAACAATTAATTTCATCTCCAACTTCACCTCGTGTGCCACAGGCCTTAAATCTTTATCATGATCACACATTTTCTTAATAAGTCCTACAACTTTATCATATCGGAATCCACCTTTATTAATCTGACATGAAAACGCATATTCTGCCGTGCTCCCCATCTTCAGTACATCCTTCGGAAACAAATTTAAAAACGTTTTCCCCAACGAGTAAACATCCGCCATTTTCGAATTCTCATTCTCCGGATTTCTATACTCGAAACAGCCCACCATCTCACTTTGCTCGTCTCCCTGCCCATGCTTCTTGGCGAGACCAAGATCCCCAATCTTCCATTCTACCCTTCCACACTGGTACGAATGCATGAAATTCTTGGCCAAAACCTATTCACGCTAATTCCAAAACCAAGTACTATAATTAGTAGCTCCGACAATGATGGAGAAATGTGGAAAGTTTCAGCTCGATTGCGCGCAGATGAAAAAAGTTATGCAGGCTTAAACTTTGGTTTTACCATTAAGTCATATTAGAAAATCTTCAAGTTGGAAATACTGTCAAATCGCGTGTCACTCTGAGGACCCGTATACATAGTTTTATTCTCCTATATGTCAGTAATCAAAACAGCTGCCCCTAGCTGCCCGAACCGAATACTCTAGGAGAAATATGTATTTGAAAATGTGAATCTTCATTATCATTAAGGTGTGAATGATTGTCCGTAGTTTTAAATTGCCATGAACAAAAATTCCAAAAAAATTCTACATGATCAATAATTCGATCTTGAATAACTGTGGAAAATTTCGTATTGATATCTTGGAATTTGCGTAAAATGCGACATAATTATTTGCAAGTCGAAATTTTCAAATTATTTATTTATCGTTCCCCACATGCCCTGGCTTACAGAATAAAAATATCAATATGGTTCTATGAGCAATAATGAAGTCTTTGATGAGACCTTTCCAGCGACACCCCACATGAGATGGTTTGTCGTCATAAATATTTTGACCTTTGGCCACACCCCCTGGTAAGGGGAGTGGCTACACGGTCATAACCTTCGGGGAAGTTATGTAGCTTCACCAGAGCTCTCGAACCACACTAATTTGAGCAGGGTAGGTGGTAAAATAAATTTAACTAATGACCACACCCCCTTGAGGGGTGTGGTCCAGATGAACAATTGAAGCGCATATGCTAGCTTTCTGTCTACTGTGGAAATTTTCGAAAATAGAATGTGAAAAATTAAATTTCTGTTTGAATTATGGGTTTTGGAAAGAAAATTAATTAATCCGTACCAGTGTGCCTCCCATTAACTTCTCTCCCCAGGATGTTATCCTTTTTCAGATCTCTATGGATGATCGACCTCTCGTGCAGATAACCCAATCCACTTAACGTATTCAGCATAATCCCTGGAATAAACCCTTCCCGGAATTTAAACTCCAAATTATCCGCTAACCACTTTTTCAACGAAAAATCACACAGCTCCATCACAATATAGAGAAACTCGCTGTCCGCACGCGTAGAACTGTACAGATTTGAATCTCCCTCCCAACTTAAGCCGTTCAACCAGAAGGAATAATACCGGACGACATTCGTATGGTTAATTTCCTGCAAAAGTATCACCTCCCGTAACATTTTCACAGGGTCCCACTCAAAATGTTGTAACGTCTTGTAGACAAAGATTTGTTTTACTGCATAGTAAAACTCAATATTTCCTAGAAGAATTTGTCTCGCTTTGTAAACTCTGCCAAAACTACCAGTCCCGATTAGGTGGAGACATTCTAAATCTAAGGTGGCATTCCGTTTCCAGGGACTGTTCATTATTCCCGTCATTTTTGGTACTTACAATCCTCGTATTAACCACTAGTCAAACTAAAGCCAACTCACGAATTACATCGTACTTTATACATAATATCCAATAAAATTTTATTTTTCCTCAAAAACACAGTCGCGTATCCCCCGAAGTAAGACTTAATTTTGGGGTTAGTTTAATAATTGTGACATTTTGTAGTGTGGCGATTCACCACTGGTGAACTTATTCTACACATGACCACTTGTTGTAAAGTAAACAGTTTTTAGATTATACATTTCTCAGGCATGGTAAACATGGTAAATATTAAGAAAAGAAAATCTAAATCCAATAACTAAATACTCCCATTCCTTAAACGGAATTTGAACCTCAACCTAAAATTCCAACGGAAACTTGAGGTTGCTACTGACTCCTGTGTGCACAAATAAACCGTAGCATGCGTTAGAAATAGCTCGCCCTATACTCTCTTATAACAAAATTCAATTTTTGTGCACTATTGGTGCATGAGGGTCAATATTGTTTAGCTATGTTGTTATGGTGCTATTGTGCTGCACTGTTGGTGCAAATGAACTAAAATTATGTAAATCGCTGGTCCAGTCCAGTTATGTATAATTGACGCAAAATTGTGTACCGAGTCAAAATTATGTATCTATTTTGTGTGGTTCTTCTGCACTGTTTGTGCGAAAGAGTCCAATCTATTTTGTATTGATTTAGATTACAAAATTTTATCAGAATTTGATGTCCAGTTTTTTCAATTGTTCTTTACTATTGATGATTTGTCCATTGATTTTCTCAATTATTTTACATCAATTTCAAACTATTTTGTCTTATAGTTTGGGCTCTTTCGCACCAACAGTGCCAATGAACCACACAAAATAGATGCATAATTTTACTATTTTGTATTATGGGTATTGATTCAAATGACAAAATTTTGTCAGAATTTTATACCTAGTTTTTCCAATTATTTTGCACTATTGATGATTTGTCCATTGATTTTCTCAATTATTTTGCATCAATTTCTTTCCAATTTTTTTTATTCATTGAGGCTAAATAGCTGTCTAAAATCAAAACGGGGGAGATTGTAAAGCGCCAATTGGCGGAGAAAACATAGGAACAGACAGACAGACGGACGGACGGACAGACGGACAAAGCAAGTTCAATAGCTCCCATGCTTCGCAGGGCGAGCTAATAAGTAATATATCCAATTTATTTACTAAATATTTTCCTCATACTAGATTTTATCCTTACTTGTAGCACAAATATCCCCATCAAATTCACATTAACAATACCCGAAAAATCTAAAAACTTCCTCAATGCAATAAAAAGTCTAAAATAAAACTTACCACAGTAAAATTAAATTAAATTTGTATCGCATACACTTTTCCAACAATTAAATGTTTTGCTAATCCCCTCAAACTTACAAATTATCCAAATGACTTACCTGTAACTAATTATCGATTGGTCACGAAATTTGTATGCTCGCATATCGCCCTAGTCTCGGCCTCGGCTTAATTCTAAAAAGACCAAAGTACTTACATTCTCTGCTTTATTTTAAAAATGCCAATGTGCCGTCATTTCACACTGTATTTAAATACGTACACTCTAAGTAATTTATTGAGTTTCAAATGTATGTGTAGTTAATGTCACCTAGTACTGGAAACAATGCGTATCATAACATATTATGTATTTCTGTCACTTGAATAAATATTGAATTGAAATATCTAAATATGCTTCAAGTAGTTTGACACGAATACAAAAATGGGTTTAATTCACTAATAATTTTCTCATTTATTCAATACTATGCACAAATATTTGCTAACAAAGGTTTTATGAAGTCACTAATGATATCCAACTGGAGGTCTGACATCTTCAAACCAACCATCAATGGCATTTAAAGTTTTTCCACGATATTACATTTCGTTTGAATTATTCCGTTGAATTATATAAATTGACCCGTTCAATAAAATAAAAATAAAATTGAAACCATATATTTAAGGTACCGGACTACATAGGAGGTCATAGATACTGTAGTGACTTTGACCATAGATTGCATGGTGTATGAATTTTATACATTTTGATCTTGAGGGTTGGTTGTGCAAAAATTTATTAGTGATTTTTTTCGTGCCATTCACATCCCAATCAGTCCATCGGTACTTTCGAAATTTACTTGTCTAAGGGGTCATGGTTTTTTTCACTTGTGCAACGTTCCAGACTGTTATAATAATTACACGGGTATGGTTAATATCTCAAATTGAAGCTGATAAAATTCTGGAGGTATCGCCAGAGCCCAAAAAATTTTAAGGCTCACCCTTTATTAATAAAATGGTGTCAAAGTCAAATTTATGACATATTTCTTTGATTTCTTCGCTTATTCGTTTAATTATAATTCAGTGGCAATTATTGAGGGTAAAAGAGCTCTGGCGATACCTCCAGAATTTTATCAGCTTCAATCTGAGATATTAACCATACCCGTGTAATTATTATAACAGTCTGGAACATTGCACAAGTGAAAAAAATCATGACCCCTTAGACAAGTAAATTTATAAAGTACCGATGGACTGATTGGGATGTGAAGGGCATGAAAAAAACAGTAATAAATTTTTGCACAACCAACCCTCAAGATCAAAATGTATAAAATTCATACACCATGCAATCTATGGTCAAAGTCACTACAGTATCTATGACCTCTTATGTAGTCCGGTACCTTAAACGTATTACAATACTTAACTAGACAAATATATAAGTAAATTACATAGATATCGTAATGTAGGCTTTAAAATATGCTCATGCTTCAACAACAATGCGCGACAATAACTTTTTGAAGCCTCTTTACTATTTAGTTAACAACTTTTAGATATTGTGTGTGTAGTTTATTCTCATTTCAGCCCAAAGTGAAAGTCAGCCCGGTTCGGGTGAACAAGTGATACGTGGCACGATGACGTGTAGGTTTTAGTTGGCAAAAGTGGGAGTAAATCGTTATTTTGTGTACTCACTATTAGGACGTTGGCCAGAGAGGATCTGGCAGTTTGGTGTTCAATAAATTCAATAGTTTTTGTGTGCTAATAAATTGTGTTGCTAAATAGAGATCACCATTTGTTGAGCACTTAATTGGCATCAAACTTCCTGTGTAAAGTAGGAGTCACCCGACACCACAAACCCCACCAAATCAGGATAAGCTCACCCACGGTGTGGGGAGTGATTATCCAACATCTGGCGCCCCCGGGTGGGCCTTTGTGTGTGTCGTCAATTTCGAGGAGGACGTGTCATCCCATTGTGGCCCAGTGCAGACGGTGGGAGGCGAGAGGACAGGTCATCAGACCATAAGAAAAAGAATAAGTGGTTTGCTGCCGCCCTGAGGGCAGCCTACCCAGGTCGGTATCGTCCTAAAAATCATTCGTGTCAAATCTAATTGTTGTTTTTTGTTGGATTTGTTGTTCTTGAGATCGAGATGTGGAGTTTGTTCAACGAGGCGTCGGGAGGAGGTGATCAGACCGAGGAGTCAGTCATCCGACCGTCGTCACGAACAGTGTCGCCACCACCATCTCGTCCGTCATCACCTGTATCAGTCGTCCCTCACATCAGGAAACTCAAGTTGAAGAGGAACGTCGCAATTGAATTGTTGGTGGAGGATATGGCCGTCGTCCGGGCTGAATTGGCCAAACCGCAGCCGGACCACGCCCTCCTCCAAAGGAAATCAAGGACCATTCAGCAGCTCACAGAAGAGGCGGAACAACAAGTGAGTGAAGTTCTGGACTACTACGTCCAAAAGAACATGGGGGAAAAGTTTCGTCAAGATCGGAAGAGTTGGAAGGAGATGAGCGAGGATGTGATAGAGTTGACAACGTCAATAAAAAGTGCTACATCTCCTTCAAGTCGACCAGTGTCTCCTGCTGGAAGTGCGAATAGTGCAACATCGAGTGGGGGGTCAAGGCGAGTGAAATTGCCAAAGTTTGAGTTGTTGAAGTTCAGTGGGAAAATACGAGAGTGGTTAGAGTGGTGGGCGTATTTCGCTCAAATACATGAGGATACGTCGCTTTCTACCTCCGATAAGTTTCGTTACCTTGTGCAATCCATGGAAAGTGGTGGTGAAGCATCAGATATCGTCGCCAGCTTTCCGAAATCCCCTGAAAATTATCAAAAGGCCATCGACATGCTCACCGAGAAGTATGGGAAGAAGGACATGTTGGTGTCACTCTATATGACCGACCTCGCCGAGTTGTTATTCAATAAGGAGAAGGGTTCACTATCAAAATTCTACGTGAATCTCCAGACTCAGCTACAAAATTTGGAATCATTGGGAGTCAAATCAGAACAGTCGTCACAATATTTACTGCCCATGGTTTTGAAGAGTCTGCCCAGAGAGACGTTGACAGCATGGTACAGGTCAACTCTCTCCAAAGTGGATGTGGAACGTTTCGTCCCACCCAAGTCAAGATTGGATTGCCTCCTCATGTTCCTCAAAGAAGAAGTGGAAAGTGAATGGAAGATTGAGTTGGCATATGGAGAAAAAGAAGAGAAAGTTGCACATCATCATCCTCTAAAAGAAGAATACGACGAAGAGTACGAAGAGGAAGAGTTGACAACAGCTGCTGGACTGCTTTCCAGTATACATTTGCAGAGAGAGGAGAGCAGTCCCATAGTTTTAAGTCATTCTGCCAGTGCCATGGCAAGTCAAGAGTGCTCCGGAGAAGTGCTGTCGCGACAACCCTCCTCCGACTTTACGACAACAAGGGAGGTCATCGGGTGGCGAGACTGCTATTCGACGGTGGAGCTCATCGAACTGTCGTGAGGAAGGACACCGTGCATTCCTTAAACTTGAAGTCAGTCGGTGCCTTTAGGCAATCAAAAATGGTGTATAGAGGTGGAGTGGCAGAGGAACGACTCCACCACAATTATCAATTGCGCATTGGAGACTTGAGGGGAGAAAATATTCGTACATTACTCGCCCATGACGAAGAGGAGATTGTGGGATTCATTCCGAGAATTCCAAAAGGGGAGTGGGTACGAGAGCTCACCCAAAAGA